CACATCTCCCGCCCCCCCCCATCCTATCTCTGAGGCAAATTCCTCATAGCAAGCAGAGGAGGTGAGGAAAAGGCAGCAGAGATCTGGATCAGGTTTCTTGGAGACATCTCTCTTGGGCAGCTGACATTGAGGGCAAGAAGAATCAAACAAGAATCAAACAAGAGAGAAGGAAAGGGGCTTTTTTTGAGTTTCGGAATTATCTGAATATCATATTAAAGTTGATGGAGACATCAATTATAGTTTTAAATATTTTCATCTGTATTCCACTAGTATTTAATATTTAGTAAGAATAAAATTTAGATTCAGACAAACGACTAAGACCGTATTCAGGTTTTAACAACAATTTAATGTTAGCGTAAATGTTTGTTCAGCTGCTAAAGATGCAATCTCTTTTATTGTTAAAAGATTGTCGCCAACATTAGGAACGTTTCTGTTTATTCCTTTAAAGAGAGAATCTGTCCCAAAACACTGTAATATCGATGTTTTGTTGTTTGTTTCTATATTCAAAATATATAATACATCTGATAATACATCTGATTCTATTTGTAACAACTCATGATATTTGATAAACGATGGATCTATATTTCCCTTACCCCCTTGTCCCACTTTTTTCGAGAAAATAAAAACATAATTTTGAAAGAGAAGGAAAAGAGAAAAGGATATGGAACCGGGCGTGTGAGGATGTGCTTATTCAATAAGAGTATAATTGGATTCAGTACAGGAACAATGCATTTCCTCTTCATTTCCCTGTAAGTGCGAAAGACTTTCTAAAAGCGAAAGCTGCAAAATCAAAGATGGGTCCTGGGGGAGATTTAACAGGGCCCTTGTAGTCATGGGCCTAGTGGGGTTGCCAGCCTCCAGGTGGGGGACAGAGATCTTCTAGAATCACAACTGATCTCCAAAATACAGAGATCAGTTCCCCCAGAAAAAATGATTGCTTTGGATGGTGGCTGTATGGCATTGTACCCCTGTAAGGTCCCCAAACCCCCTTCCTTCCTGGGCTGTACCCCAAATCTCCAGGTAATTCCCAACCCTGAATTGGCAACCCTGGGGCCTAGTTATGAATGAATATTTATTTCTGCTGCATTGATATACAATGAATAAAATAGCTTTCAGGCAAGAGTTCTCAAGTTGGTTCCCAGTTCCTTATTCATTACTTGTTCGCAACGTATCAATTCAACCAAAAAAAACCCTGAGAAAAGCTCTCAAGTTGATCATGCAGGAAGACACTGGGGCCAGGCTGCACCCTATTCGTTCCTTATCCGGTTCCCAAGGAACTGGGAACCAACTTCAGCCTCAGATTCTTTGGCCTTTCCTCATAGCAAAGGTCATGTTAATGTTAGTTATCATCAGGGGTCATTTCCTGCTGGAGCGCACAGGAGCAGAGCTCCGGCAGTAAAGAGCCCAGGGGGTGGGCACACGCAACAAGCCCCACCCCCTGCTCCCAGCAGCTCTCAGTCAGAGCAAGAAGCAGCCAGGTAAGTTGCAGAGCTCCCACCGCCCCCCCCCCGGGACCAAAACAGTCCAGTGGCACCTTTAAGACCAAATTTTATTCAGGTACAAGCTCTCCCTCCTCTGTGAGGAAAGATCTGCACTTCCCCCCCCCCCAATAGCTAGCAATCCAAAACAGTCCAGTGGAGCCTGAGTGGTGGTTGTTGCCTCCTGACACACTTCCGGTGATGTCGGGGGGTGTGGCCTATGCAAATGAGTTATGCTAATGAGTCATGCTAATGAGCTCCTGCATCTCTTTTTCTACGAAATGACCCCTGGTTATCATGTTAGTTATTCTCCATTGCCTGTGCCAAGTCCCTGGAAAGCCACAGAACGCAAGCAGACAAAACTTGTTTTGGCAAGTGAATGTTCTGACACTACATGCAAGAGACCCAGATTCTCTTTCCCGCCGTGTTCCAAACAAGAAGAGGGAACAGCTTTGAACTGCAATGGAAACGCCCCACTTCCTTGTTTTGGAGCACAGAATCATTTTGTGAATTTTCATCTGAGGAAGTGAATGTTCCTGGGCTTCCTCTTTGAAAGAGACGGCATCACTGTGAGCAGGGGTCATTTTGTAGAAAAAGAGCTGCAGGAGCTCATTAGCATAACTCATTGGCATAATTTATTTGCATATGCCACACCCTCTGACATCACCGGAAGTGTGTCAGAAGGCAACACCCACCACTCAGGCTCCACTGGACTGTTTTGGATTGCTAGCTATTGGGGCTGGGGGGACG